TTTCTGTCTTCCTCAAAATCTAAGACTATGGAATCAGCTGAAAAATGAACTTATTCACATTAGCTAGAATATCCTCAACTACGCCCCTTGGATAAGTGAGTGATCTATCTGCAAGTTGCAATGTGACATTTGTAGGCTTCGTTTCTTTCAAACCCAATTGCTGATAAATTGAGAACGACATCAAGTTAATATTAGCTCCCAAATCACATAATGCTCTCCCGAAAAATTGACTGCCTATTGTGCATGGAATTATGAAGCTACCTGGATCTTTGAGCTTTGGTGGTAACTTCTTTTGAAGAATCGCACTGCACTTCTCCGTAAGTGCCACTATCTCAAAATCGCCTAGTTTTATCTTCTTTGACAGAATTTCATTCATAAATTTCACATAGCTAGGCATCTGCTCCAATGCGTCGGTAAAAGGGATACTTATTTGGAACTTCTTAAACACTTCCAAGAAATTTGAGAACTGCTTATCCAACTTCTGTTTCTTCAAACATTGTGGAAACGACACATTAGGCACAATAGGTCTCTGTTTGCCTCCATTAGAACTTACAACTAGATTTTCTTCCTTCTTTTTATATTCCACATTCTTGCTATTTTTTTTTCACTCACACTATCATCTCCATGCGATTGCTTTGGAGTTCCACCAAAAGCCTCAGGTAACTCTTTTCCGCTACGTAATGTAATAGCCTTGCAGTGTTCCTTATCTTCCCTCTTAGGATTGATCTCCGTATTGCTAGGTAGAATACCTTGAGGTTGGTTGTTAATGGCATTAGCAAGTTGACCCATTTGATTTTCCAGGTTTCGGATTGATACTCCCTGACTGTTCATCCTTGTCTCATTCTGTGCTATGTACTTGGAAAGTAGCTCCTCCAAGTTCAACTTTTTTTCCTGCTGTGGTGGAGGTTGATTCTGAAAGCCTGGTGGGTATGATTGTCTTGGAACAAAAGTTTGAGCTTGATTATTATTCAAAGAAAAGTTCATATGATTTCTCCAACCAGTGTTATAATTTTTGGAATTGTTGCTATGTTGCTGCCTGTTGTAGTTACCAATGTATTATACTGACTTTGAACTAATTGCACATTAATCACTTGGATGGTTCCCTGCACACAATTCACAAACAACTGTCACACTCTGAATAGGCAATACTCCTAAAGCATTAATCTTCTTTGTCAACGTAGCAACCTATGCAGCCAATGCAGTAACCGCATCAACTTCATAAATCTCTACTACCTTTGGCTGATTGATTCTTGCAGAGGGCCACTGATAATTGTTGGCAGCCATCATCTCCAATAACTCGTAAGTTTCATCAAAAATTTTTCCCATCAATGCTTCACCTGTAGCTGCATCGATATTGGTCCGAGTAGCACTAAACAACCCGTTGTAGAAAGTCTGAACTTGCAACCACTTAGGAATACCATGGTGAGGTCATTTCTGGAGTAAATCTTTGAATCGCTCCCAAGCTTCATAGAGAGTCTCAAAATCATGTTGTACGAATGAAGTGATGTTGTTCCTTATTCTCGCAGTTTTGGCTGGCGAAAAGAATTTGACTAAGAATTTTTTAGTTAAATATGTCCACATAGTAATAGACCCTGGCGACAATGAATGCAACCAACTCTTTGCCTAATCATGAAGTGTGAAAGAGAAAAGTCGGAGTCTAATCGCATCTTCGACAACCCCGTTGTATTTAAACGTGTCGCAAATCTCCAAAAAACTTACTAAATGATCATTTGGGTTGTCATTAGGCAGACCCGCAAAATGCACTGAATTCTGAATCATTTGAATGGTACCCAACTTGATCTCAAAACTGTTTGTTTGAATTGTGGACTTTTGAATGCTCGATTGTATTTATGTAACAAGCGGCATAACGTAATCCCTTAACGATTTTTGTTCTTCTATAGCCACAGTTTCTTGATTTTTTACTTCTTGACAATACTTTCGCAGTTTTCGAAACCTTCTCTAGATTTCATCTTCATATGGTGGTAGTTCCTGACCTTTAGATCGTGTTAATATACAAAATTCAAGAGTGCTTGCAAAAACAATTAAAACAAAAAATTAAATAAGTTTAAACTAATATCAAATTGATTGAAATTAATATTGAAATAATTACTATAATAACTCCCTGGCAACGATTGTAAAAATTTGTTGTCCGAATGTGATATTGACAATTTATGTACAAATATACACAATCAATAAGTAATAAAGTGATAAGTATAGTGTTGTTCCCACAAAGAATTATTACTAATAATTTTCAAATACTAACTTTATATCAATTCAATTTTATTTAAACAATTGAAGATAAACTATGAAATTATTAATTTAAAACTAATTCTAAAATTACTAATCAATGACTGATTTCACTAAATAAAAGAATTTAAGATTACNGAAGATAAACTATGAAATTATTAATTTAAAACTAATTCTAAAATTACTAATCAATGACTGATTTCACTAAATAAAAGAATTTAAGATTACAACTTCCTCTAATACTTTGTATAAATTTTTTCACTCTCTTTTCCATTAATTAATTAAAACAAGTTGTTAATTGAGAATTCAAAATAATTTATTAAACTTCAGCCGATAGTTAGATAAAAATATCTCTCCTAATTAAATCACTATATTCCAAATTCATTAAGCTCAAACTCCCATAAAAATTACTCACGGCATATAAGTATATTCATATCCTATACATAAACCTAGCTTTTCAACCCTAAGAAGAAATAACTAGACGCACGTTATCACATTCAGATCTAAATCCCAGAATTCATCTTCCAATTTTATCTAGGAAATCAAATTAATTGTTAGTCAAACAATCACATATTAAGCACAAAATATGATAAATAACTTATGTATAACCAATAATAACTGAAAGCGATAGTAAATTAATTTAACTAAACTTCAGGTTCTATTGCAACTTTAATAAAAATTTAGTTCATAACGTAATTGAGAAAAAAACATCACTCTCAAATTAATCAACATCTTAGAAAATCAAAAACTAAAAGTAAGAGAAAAGAATGAAAATTGTGTTGAAATCTTTAATCTCTCTCTAGCCTTCAATTTCGATCTTCTTCACATTGCTTCCTTCGATCCCTACCTTCAATTCACTCTTAATCCTTCTGTCTCTCTGTTAGCAGCTCTTCTTATCAATATATATAGGTCTCTTGTTAAAACCTATCATCTGTAGCATTAGAATCCTATTTCTACTCAAAAACA